TTGGTATCGAAGGATTACACAACACTGATTGATAGGGGTGTCCCAGCAGCCTCCAGTATCTGTGTCTGCCGTGGTAATCCCCCGACACCGACGGGGTCGTACACAGCACATGTCTCGCTAAAGACAAGTCACATGATCACTTCAAGCAATTGTTCTTTTTCTCATCCCGATTGTTGTTTCACATTTATCATTCTTTCTTCATTACCTCTATTTGATTAATTTGTTGGAATTTGCATTAATAATCTCACAAATTATCAATGGGAGCTAGTAATTATTTTACATGGTACTTTCTATATATTGACTTCAGTGTGGTGGTGGGAAATATTTGTCTTTATTTTTGCTGGGATATGATGCAGAAATATTTATATGAATATACAGATTAAGGGAATATTGCGGTTCGATTCAGGTACATGGCGATATTCTAGAAATACCACAGCAACCTCCTGAATTCAGACCAGGTGCAGGCAGGCCAGAGGTCAATCTCATGGCACAGCCAAGTGACAATCTCATGGCACAGCCAAGTGACGATCTCATGGCACAGCAAAGTGACGGTCTCATGGCACAGCCAAGTGACGATCTCATGGCACAGCCAAGTGACGATCTCATGGCACAGCCAAGTGACGATCTCAAGGCACAGCCAAGTGATGATCTCATGGCACAGCCAAGTGACGATCTCATGGCACAGCCAAGTGACAATCTCAAGGCACAGCTAAGTGACAATCTCATGGCACAGCCAAGTGACAATCATCAGGCACAGCTCTGTGACAATCTCATGGCACAGCCAAGTGACAATCTCAAGGCACAGCCAAGTGTCAATCTCAAGGCACAGCCAAGTGACAATATCATCGCACAGCCAAGTGACAATCTCATGGCACAGCCAAGTGACAATCACCAGGCACAGCTTAGTGACAATCTCATGGCAAAGCTCTGTGACAATCTCATGGCACAGCCAAGTGACAATCTCATGGCAAAGCTCTGTGCACAATCTGATGACCCAGCTAAATGTCCTGATTACTCGTTTCTCTATATTTGTTCCTGCAGCCATCAGCTAATCAAGATAATCAACGTACTGCACAAACAAACACCTGCACAGAGGCAGTCACTTCCTCAGCCATAGCCAGCGACCAGGGATCTAACTTCTTAAAAAAACATGTTAATTTGAAGAAATACAATTAAGTCTGCAGGCAGGAACAGCCCCTATATAACGAAGGAGAAAGATTACATTAGGTCATGTGGTGGGCTGTGTAGACAAAGTGGTTGGCTGACGATAATGAGAAGAGTCACCCATGATTAAAGTGGGAGGGGATTGTGATGGAGGATAGTGGGGGGAGGATTGTGATGGAGGATAGTGGGGGTAGGATTGTGATGGAGGATAGTGGGGGGAAGGGGAGGATTGTGAGGAGGATTGTGGGGGGAGGATTGTAATGGTGGATAGTGGGGGAGGATTGTGGGGGGGAGGATAGTGGGGGTAGGATTGTGATGGAGGATAGTGGGGGAGGATTGTAATGGAGGATAGTGGGGGTAGGATTGTGATGGAGGATAGTGGGGGAGGGGGAGGATTGTGATGGAGGATTGTGGGGGGAGGCTTGTAATGGATGATAGTGGGGGAGGATTGTGATGGAGGATAGTGGGAGGAGGATTGTGATGGAGGATAGTGGAGGGAGGATTGTGATGAAGCATAGTGGGGGAGGATTGTGATGGAGGATAGTGGGGGAGGATTGTGGGGGGAGGATTGTAATGGAGGATATTGGGGCAGGACTGTAATGAAGGATTGTGGGGGGGAGGATTGTGATCGAGGATAGTGGGGGGAGGATTGTGGATGAAGTGGATGGAGGGTTTATAGTAGGAAACGTCACCATCAGAATGGAAGGTGATTAGGTGATTGTTATGAAGGATTGTGATGGAGGACTGAGGGGGAGGATTGAGGATGAAGTGGATAGAGGGTTACTGTAGGAAACATCACCATCAGGACAGGAGGTGATTGGGTGACTGTTATGGAGGATTGTGATGGAGGATTGTGGATGAAGTGAAACAGAAGGTTTACTGTAGGAAACGTCGCCATCAGAATGGGAGGTGATTGTGATAAAAGGATTGTGGATTAGTGAAACTCACCATCATAATGGAAGGTGATTGGGTAATTGTGATAAGCGGAGTGGGGCTGGAAGGTTTACAGTAGGAAAAGCCACCATCAGAGTAGGTGTTGATTGTGAGTGGGTGAAGTAATGTTGATCACATTGTCAGTAGTTACCCAAACAAACGCCACCATCAGTGTGAAAGATTCTATGGGTGTTTCAGTGTGTTGGCTGATGTGAAAGGTTAATTGTACTTCAACATAAACATTGATTTCTGACTCTAAGAAAACATGTATTTTTGTCTCATGATATTTTGCCTTTTTATGATATTCAGTGTATAACAATTAGCACAAGGCAATCAAGGCACTGCATTTGCCAGAGCTGTGGTGCCTGCACTCTACCACCCTGAAAAGCTGAGTACAAGATCAACAGTTTCTATAGGCAAACACTTTTTTTCTGTGACACATTAATTGAGATGGCTCTACCACCATCAAAGATGAATCCTGGAAGTGTGAGTTGGTATAGTACCACTTGCTGTTTCTTCATCAATTATTTATAGTCCACCAATGACCCCAGAGGGGGGTCTGTTCATCTCACACTTGTAGGACATCCACTCATTGACATCAACATCGTGTTTTGCATATCCATAATTAGGGACATTTCTTCTCACCTTCCTGCCCTTAACTGGGATAAATATTTTAGTAGTGTTTTCACAGAAGTCGGTGATTCATTCATGCTGGTAATGTCATTACAGAACTACAGTTATTTGTACAGATCCATAGGTCTTCTGTATTCTCTTTCAATATTTCCATTCACACAGCATTGCTATGATTGTTTTTGCAATATGTTGAATATTTGAACCTCCATTCCCTGCAAAATCTTACGATTATTAAAAATACCGGATTAAACATCACAAAGTACTGTTCCTCCATTCATCTTTCAATAGACTCCATAATCTCTTTACTGTGAGGGATGGTGGCTAAGACTAGTGGGGGAAGCAATTGCTCACCATGCTAAAAGTGGCATAAAAGCCAACTCACTCACTCCTTTACAGTGTGACACAAAGTATTACCAGAGGGACAGAACAATCTGGATCATACCATGGCACTTGAGCATCACCACCACATCTTTACAATAATAAAGGTTTACTTTATCTACTTCTACAGCAGATGTAGGCACAATATAGGCCAGCTATCCACCCTACCTCACACAACACAGGCCAGCTATCCACTCTACCTTATACAATATAGGCCAACTATCCACCATACCTCATACAACATAGGCCAGCTACCCACTCTACCTTATACAATATAGGCCCGCTATCCGCCCTACCTCTCACAACATAGGCCAGCTACCCACTCTACCTTATACAATATAGGCCAACTATCCACCATACCTCATACAACATAGGCCAGCTTCCCACTCTACCTTATACAATATAGGCCAACTATCCACCATACCTCATACAACATAGGCCAGCTACCCACTCTACCTTATACAATATAGGCCCGCTATCCGCCCTACCTCTCACAACATAGGCCAGCTACCCACTCTACCTTATACAATATAGGCCAACTATCCACCATACCTCATACAACATAGGCCAGCTACACACTCTACCTTATACAATATAGGCCAGCTATCCACCATACCTCATACAACATAGGCCAGCTACCCACTTTTCCTCACACAACATAAGCAGGCTAGCCACTCTACCTCACACAACATAAGCCAGCTACCCACTCTACCTCACACAGCATAAGCCAGCTACCAACTCTACCTCACACAACATAAGCCAGCTACCCACTCTACCTTATACAATATAGGCCCGCTATCCGCCCTACCTCACACAACACAGGCCAGCTACCCACTCTACCTCACACAACATAAGCCAGCTACCAACTCTACCTCACACAACATAAGCCAGCTACCCACTCTTCCTTATACAATATAGGCCCGCTATCCACCCTACCTCACACAACACAGGCCAGCTATTTCCTTTCTATAAAACTATGTCCTGCTACTGTTTGTTGTATAGGAGTCTCTATGAAGACTACTGCTATCATGTCCTGCTACTGATCGAGAGTTCATCCAGTCATGCGCAGGTTTTTATCAAAACTTCCAAACATCCCAAAATTGTATTAATGGTTCAGCTACTTATTGATTTCCAACCTTAAATTATATTATCTGGCACAAAACCTGAATTTTCACACATAATTACGTACACTTTTAAAAGATTAGATTTGCCATTTGTTTCCTCTTACAAATAGATTCCCTGAAGATCTACAAATAAAGATTTCTGTATGCCAAAGCTATCGACACAAAACAAAATCTATTCATGATGAACATCACATGTTGATATGTCTAAAGAGAAAGCACAGAAGTGAGTATGTGAGTGAGTGAGTGTTGTTAAATGAGGTGACTCTTAGACAAGAGATTGTTTGACATTTTTTACAATTTACCCAGCAATAATTAGGTTCCTGGTAGGCTGAGGTTGTACTGTGATACAATAGAAGTACCAAACAGGCAACATGGGCTGCATAATCCCCATGGAGCTGAGAATGCAAAAATCCTTTGACAAAGCTAGTGCTATGTCTGAGTGAAATCTTGTGCTATGACCAGGGTAGATATATGTCTGTGTGGAATCTGGTGCTATATAAGTGTATTATTAATAATTATTGTGGGCATCGTCCCCTTATGTAGCATAATATTTAAGATTACAAACGTCTTGTTTGTTTCAGCCTTTGCTCCCATTTAAGCAGACCACAATGACTGCACGTATGCTACTTCAGCATTACAAGAGCATTAACTCAATTAATATAGCAACATTAGACTAGGAATCATTATAACAATACAAAAGCACCATATCCAAAAGGATCCTCATACTTTCACTTAACTGCTTTAAAGATCTGAAACTATGAAACTCACCCGAAAATCTCCACCATTTCCGTCATCTAATTCTAGAGTATAGGCCTCTACGACACTGCTTGGATACGGTTGCCAAGCGATGGTGACACTGTTGTTCTCTGCACTGCATTCTTCTGGGATGATGAAAGGCTGACCTGGTGCTGTGGGAGAGACAGCAGTAGAACATATCATCATCTGACATCATAGGATGAAAATGTTGGCCATTAATCCCAAATAATTCTTATTGCATCAATCTATTGTTCTAACCATGTATTATTTCCCATGAACAATTTCATCCAAATAGCTGGAACCAACTACCAACATAAGCTATTCCATTGCAACTGCGATTCTCCAAGTGATTTGTTCACCAAGTGCATCCAGTTTTGTACCACATGTGGAACTGGAACTGCACATACAACTGCCTGTTTTATTTGACACAGGTGTAGTTGGTTGTGTTTGCGCATTGGCTTCTCGTCAACGATGAATTATTTATGTCCAAGAAAGACCTCAAAAGTGGGTATTCATGAAAATAGAGCCCTCCAGCACTTTGAGCCCTTGTGTATTATTTTTCATGAATACACACTTTTTTGTTCTTTCTTCATGATTTAAATTGCAGCACTGGGAGCATGCAAACAAATTTTACTGTCAATGCCAAGTTTCTTAAATCAATCGCTAAATTTAGTTTCAAACAAGGAAAATCCGATCCATACTTAATAAACGACTTCCCACATTATTTATGATTTCTTTGCTGCTTGTACAGTGGTCACAATGGGATGTGCATGTTTGGAGCCCAAAAGCATGACAAAGTCTCCAGGATTCACAAATGGAAAGACCCCTTGGTAAATCCCTGGTTGTAGAACATCAAACGTGGCTATTTGAACATCAAAACAATTTAATTTTAAAACAAATGTCAAAACCATCTTGATTTTACAACACTGCACAAGCCCTACTTCTTAAATATATATTCCATTTCTGTGATGGTTTTTATTATGCTATATAACTTGTTAATCATATTCATAGCCTACCCACATGTGCGCAATTATTATTCATAAGCTTTACAAACTAAGACCATGTGAACATCAACATGTTACATTAGCATCTACTGCAGAGAAAATCAAAACCAAACTTAACATAAATTTTCAATTATTTCAACAGATTTTAAACACCTACATAATGACTTAGTAAGCATGTGTTAACAGGAAGTAATTTGCCTGATTGACTGCAAGTGTTGTGCTAAACAGTTCTACACTTGACCTTCAAATACAGGCATGGAACCTATACTCTCAACATTGATACAGGCCACATGGCTCCTGCTTGGATTAAACCTGATCATGAAATATCAGATATACCCCCCTGCACTTTGTGATCTCACAGAATTTACTTGTGAAAATTTAAGGCTGCAAGATCTGTTTTGAATCTGAGACCACCTGTGGGTATTATGTCTGCATCACTTTGTAACAGTTGCCCTATCATATGACGTTGTTCATGAGGTTAAAACGGTTTAACCAACTCCAGACAGGGAAACATACAAATCGCTTTTAAACTATCTGGAGAATAACTAATCTTAGATTTGATGTCAAACCTGAAACAGTTTCAGTATTTCATAGAAATAATTGCTTTTTCAGATATGACTCGTTTTACTTTCATTATCATATGATCACTTGTTTGAGCCTGGTTTCAACACTTTGATAATTAATGGTTGATACATGGCTGGAGCTGTCATCCATCAGGAACAATGAAAACATGCTAAAACCAAGCTAAACAGCCTTGATAGTGAAAGTATTTGAATTTATGTTGATGTTGGTCAATATTTGACCATCTCTTCAGATCAGTCGAAGATATTTCTGATAGATGAGAAAAGTGGTTGTTACTGAAGAAGAATAGATTTAACTGTCAAGTGTTTCACAATTGTTTCGAAATTAAATGTCACAAGGTTTTAAAGAATTGTATCAAAACATGTTTTGATGACTGTACGTCTAGTCTTGTGACCTTCCAGAAAGGATCACCGTCTCCAAACCTGCCATGTTGACATTTCCAGTAAACTATTTGATCTATGTCATGCAGACATGACAAAACCTATGTCCTTCCTTCCTATGTCCTCATAGCAAGATCTCAACTTTGCATTGTCTCTAATTGGGGGGAGATAGGATCTCACGTTCGAATGTTCGATTGTGTTTGACTTGCTCAAGCTATGTTATCGATCTCCTATACAACTGGTACAGCTGCCCTGTGGCTATACCACTCTCAAACACTGCTCTGCCTATAGCTGTACACTTCTACATCCAAGAGGCATGAAAGCCAATTCCATAACAGTTGCTGCATTCAATGACATACTACTCATAATTGGCAATTATTTGAATTTTATCCGTATCTTTAACAAGATTATCTCGGTATAATAGCTATCCTGTTGTCCAGGGCAAAGGGATGTCCTTGTAGGTGGATGGGACTTCGTTACTGCCTGGCGTTCAGGCTGATGAAGAAGTGGGCCCTGAATGAGGATAACCTGTATTGTACATGTAATAATGTAACGGTGGAATCTTGGAACATCACTGTCAGCAGGGCATATTTTTTGTTGTAAAAATGTCTTCATTAGACCTGGCAAGAAGTATATAGTTTAGACATTGAGGGTTTCACTTCCTATCTCGAGGTGGTTCAGCAAAAGATGTTGTTACCAAGATGCTCAGAGCGCAAGGACATTTTAAAATAACATTTATATCTACAGGATCATTATCGGACACTAAGCCATCACCTTTGTAAACTACAATGGCATCACTAACAGATGGGAGTTTTCACAGTGAGTGAGTGAGTGAGTGAGTGAGTGAGTGAGTGAGTGAGTGAGTGAGTGAGTTGGGTTTAATGCTACTTTGAATAATATTTCAGTATTATCATATTGTGTGAGATAATAAGGGAGGAAAACCTAAAGCAATACTGATTTTAGAAGTTTACCACTTCATAAAAGTACTGGGACATTGGAGTAAGCATAGTGGATAAAGGCCTGGGTTTCGTTTCCCCACATGGGTACACTGGATGAAGCCCATTACTGGGTACCCTGCCATGATATTGCTGGAAAATTGCTAAAAGCAGCATAAAACCACTCACTCACTTGCTAACTCATCTCACTAACTCACTGAAGTACAAGCTAGTTGATGACTAAATACTCTCATAAAATTTCACTACAAATATGAGCCTCATCAACCAGAAAATCAAAATTGGATAAACTTACTTGTCATTCAATCAGCTATATCTACATTTGCTATATAGAATTCTACCATTATATTAATATGCTAACTTGATATGAACATTTCAGTGTGTTAGTTTTAGCATCGTTTCAGCCATAGGTCCAATCCTAATACTAAATTCATCTATATTTACAAACCTAACAGATCGATCAACCCGCAGAGCAGAATATTCAATTGCATTAGTCAAATCCCCAGCTAGTCAAAGCTCAGAGTTGACAGAGTGTCACCGAATTTTCCAAACAAATTTCTCCACATTCAATTTCTGTCATTTCTTCTTTTCCTTTTCTCAAACAATATTGACCTTGCTTAGATTTGGCCAGTAACTTAGGCACTCTTCCCCTGGTAGAATAAGTCAATAGTGTTTAAAAGCAATTTCTATGTTATTTCCTCAGCTGACAAGTCCAGATTGGTGGTGGTGTTGAGGCTGGGTGAAAGCTGTTTTAAATGCAACATTGCTCTATACCCTTCAGCCAACATTACCACAGCTTGTGGCAGTTAGGAATCATTTTTTTCTTACTTCAGAGCAGCTGAATGAGTTTGACATTTGTGGTGATTCTTAGGTGAGATACATTTAAAACTAGTATCAGTTTTACCATTCAAAGGAACAACTTTTCTTCTCATTACAAGAAATGGATCTGATTTTATACCTTAATTCCATCTTTTCAGTCATTTTGCACGGTATCATTTATGTTCATCTAGATTGTGTTTCAGAGAGAGATATTTTTATATTCTCGAGAGAATTCTTTGAGAACCGCTTGTCTTGCCTTTTATTTTGAACACTGAATATAAATGAGAAACTTACAGACATCGGCTCTCAGAAATGTTATCACATGAAACAAGTGCAAAATGACGAACACTTTAATACAGATTTCCTTAATAACATGACATCCAATTACCCATTTGAGTGGTGACTAGAGACATTTCAAGAGATTTTGCTTTAAAACATCGTAATTTTGGTTTTCCATTCATCTTCAGTGGCTTGTTCTTGTACACAATGTCCTGATACTCTTACCTGTGGAATTGTGTAAACAAAGATAATTAAGGGGAAAAACTGAAATGTAGCTGTGTCGGTACAATTCAAGGTGGTACACAGGTGGTGTACATAACCATGATGGGGTGGGTCTCAGGAACACATTTCAGTGGAGTGGTAGCCACCATTGCATAACCCAAGAATTGAAAGCTTGAATGGCATGAGTTAGAAGCACCTCAGGTAGAGTCATAACCAGGCACATCATGGCAGTCACTGTGGGTGAAATGGGTATATAACACCTTGAACAGTACTTTGGTTATTTATAACCCTGTGGGGATTTCAGGTTAGTATAGGCCCCCAGCAACCTATGCTGGTCGTACGAGGCAACCAAAACTAATTGGTAGATCAGGCTCGGTGACTTGGTTGATTGCATGTCATTGTACCCCGATGGCATAGAGCATTACACACAATATTGGTCACTGGATTGTCTGGTCAAGAAATGCGTATTTACAGCCCACTGTCATATCGCTGGAATATTGCTGATTGTGGCATTGAACAAGAAAAACAACAATACTTATTAATATGATTTTTCACTTGATGCCAATGAGGAGGCTGACCAAGGGTAAATATTGGGATTCGAAAGCATGTTCATTGGATCCTGGCAGCTAAGGCACATAACTCCGCACAACTAGGTGCAGCACCTTGATTACTGCACCATCCAAGCACCAAGTTCTATGAACGTCAGAACCCCCAAATCTTTAAAAAGACTCATAAATGCCAAAGGGATAGTACCATTTTATGGATTGGGCCTTAATTCACCAAAGCAATATACGATTGTCGAGCTTACATATGACAGTCTTATGACTAAGACCTCATTGAGGAACAAGGCACAGAATATTCAATGCAATATCAGATCTTAGTTCAGAATAGAGATCTGAACTGTGTGAGTTTA